AGGTCCATGTGGTCTGACAGTGGTGCTGTTGTGGAGGAAGGAGAAGAGGCATGGAGATGGGAGGGCCTCATGACACATAAACACTGACAGACACGTGACAGTGGGATTTGGAAGTGGGTCCACATGAGGGTAGAGAAGGCCTGGCTATGCATGGGCCTGGTATATTACCAACTGAAACGTGGTAAGGGATCAGAGAGAAATGGGAACAGATCACGTGGGATCCTGCGGTTCATAAGAAGCGTACTTTTGATCCTAAATGAGGGAGAAGACCCAAGGATCTGAGCAAAGCAGTAGCATGGCCTCCATCTTAGATTTCAGAAGAGCCCACAGGCTCTGCAGGAACAGACCATGCCAATGGGAGCAGCCAGAAGGACGTGGTGGACTGAGCAGAGTGGCAGTCATGTAGTTATGACAGTAGCCCAAGGCTGAGTATGTTCTGAAAAGAGCCCACCCAACTGTGGAAGACTGGATGTGAGTGTTCATGTTGGGGAGGGACACGTGGCATGTGGCCTGGGCAAAAAGAAAGATGAAGGTGCTGTCACTGAGAAAGCTGTAGCAGGAGGGGTTGGCTAGGGAAACCAGGGATCTCGTCTGGAACATGCTAAATTGGAAATGGCTATTAGCCATCCAAACAGATTCATGGGGGTAGCAGGATAGTCACAGCAGGAGTTTGGAGAACTCTGGGCCCAACATAAGCACTCAGAAGTGTCAGATACTGACACTATTTAAAATCTACAAGACTGGGCGGAATCCCCAGGAGTGGGTGGAGATGAAGAAAAATGGTCTGAGAGAGAGTGAAACTGTCAAGGGGCAGGAGAGCTTTCAGAGGGGTCCTGGGGACCAATGGACAGCCAGGGAGTTGGGGGAACAAGCAGAGTAAAGGTGTGGAATGCAGTGGAGCCTGGTCCTTGCTCGAGTTCCAGGTTGGGTTGCAAGAACAGATGGGAGGAGGAAGTGCCTGGGTGGCTGCAGGAGAAACACCAAGGACTAAAATGTGAGCAGCAACAGTGGGGTTGTAGAAGTCTCATTCTGAGGGGAGCAGAACCATGGTGGTGGCCAGAGAAGACACAGGGATAATAGGAGAAAAAGCTTCAAGTCAGGCACCAGTGGGATCCAAGATGAAAAGGAAGGAGACCAATACCCAGGCCCACATTGGAGCTGCATGGCTCAGGTTCTGAAGACTGCCAGGCATGGCAGGGAGGATAGCCTTTGTAGATGCCCTTCTTGCTGGGAAAACCAAGAACGGTGCTACCAGATTAGAGTATGAGGGAGGTGCTGGGGCCAGGACAGGGAGATTGTGTGTACAGAGGGCCGGAAGTGGGAGCTGCACTGTTTCCCTCAAAGTGGGGCAATCTAACAGAGCCCGCCACAAACATGTCCCACTAGAACACATAAAACTGATTTTAAACCGTAAACAAATTAAACTGATTTTAAATAAGACATTCGAAAACACACTCTCCAGGGCACAACCTCTACCCTTAGGGAGCTTCTATTTTAAGTCGGTCTGACTTACCTTCATTTTCAAACAAAATTACACCCGTCCTCCCCACTGGGCTGTCTGGAATTGATCGAACAGTCCTCGTCTCTCTTAACATGAAATGGACTAGACCGAGTGTATGTCTGCAGGGAGCAGCTCTCACCTCCTGTTCTCCTCCTTCTCTAGCAGGAGGCTGCTAGACAGGCACTGCGAGAGGCGCTCTCCAGCTGAAGCACCACAGATCAAGTCCTCTGTGCTGGGGATGCCCCCAACCTGGCCAGCCACAGCGTTCCTTTTCTTGTTCAGATGGACGTGAAGTAACGTAGCAGGGAACTGGTTAGCAGAAGGATGGAGAGACTTGATCCCCAAGCTGTAAGCACATGTTCTGAAAGTTAGGAGAGTAAAGGAAGACCCCACACTGCACCGTGTCTACATGTGTGAACACTGCCTGTCACAGGTCCCTGGAAGCCACTTCCACCCCTGCCTGCACTGTGAGCCCTCACCCACATAGCATGACACCCCTCAATCATGACTGCTGCCAGAAGTTTCTACTCTTATGAGGTAGCTATGCTTCTCAGGGCATCTCCACTCTGAGCTGTCTATCCCATCCATGGCAATAAACAAGTCCTATACTGCTTCTAAATATGGGCATGGCTCAGCCCCTATTGATTACTCTTGAATCCACCAGTCATGTTTACAAATTCAGGAAAGGAAAGATCTGATGCCTTCCTAACAGATGTCAGCCCACTACTGCCAAGGAAAATCCCATTCTTCACTCCCATTTCACACTTGACATGGCCTGTTGCATGCGGCTCCATTCTGGTTCAGTGACCTATTTCTGCAATGCAAGTGCTTATTCCAAAGCTTTATACATGATTTGAAGCAAGGCTGTGCCAACTATCCTTCATCTTTACTCTTTTCTAACTTTTCTTCACAATCACGGATTCTCATCCCTATGAACTGACTACACGTTTGAGAGGACATTACCACAGCCCTGTGTCTTTGCACCCCTCACTGTGGCATTGGCCTTACACACCAGGGTACAGTCTCCCTTTACCCATGCTCACACTTGGTGGGCTTGTTGCAGCTGTAGATGGGAACTCCCTATACTGCAGGCCAATCTCTCTGATCAGCCCAGTGAACCCTGAAATATTCTGTTGACCTTCTTAGATCAACAATGTACCCTCTGGAAATAAGAACTCGCCTTCCCCACCCCACCCCTCTCTCCTCCAACACTGTGCATCTCCTCCATGCTCCCTGCTATCAGGATTCCAGGACAAGACAGAGCAACAAGATGGCATTCAGAAAGATTTCTTCTCTCTTTCGACACCATATCCTCCCTCCCTCCCTGCTGTCATGGTCTCCAGGACAACAAAAGCATGGATGATCAGTCTGGCCCACCTACAGTGTCTTATCAAGAAGTACAGTGTTCTAGAATGGCCTTTTCAAGATAAGGACTTTCTCCATGAAGCTCAAGAGACATAATGAGGAGTGGGTATAGACTTCAAGATTTTAAGCCAGGTGCATCATCTCTGTGAGCTCAATGTACTCTGGCAGCATTACCATATCCACCAGGCTTTCTGAGCTGGGTTCATGAGTGGTTTTCTTTGCCTGAACTCTCCTATCAGGTGTGGCTTCATACTGAATCACAGACGAAGGTGACAGGCAGGGACCAACAAACATGCAAAGCGGACTTCAACGACCCTGGCTGCAGGTACCAGCAGACATATACATGCACAACATGGATCTCACCGTTTCTGATTCCACTGTAGCTCCTTCTGTGTCTGGATTCTGGCTTGTTCCCATGACAAAGGAACTTCATAGCTTTTCAAATGGTTTTTTAAAAAATATACACATATCTGACCATCTTCACTCAGTGCCTCTAAGGAAACAACACAAAAATCAAGTTGAGATGAGAGGAGAACATCAAAAGAGCAGGAAGTGACCTCTTCATCTTTGCCTAAACCTACAGACCTCAGACCAACCATCTGATTAACCTGAACCCCACAGTTCCTGACTCCCAGGTCCAAGTCAAATTCACTCTAAGATTAGCCCACGGTCCACAGTCCCACCTCCCAGGTCCAAGTCAAATTCACTCT